TTGATGTCATCGTCGTGCGCAATCGCTCGAAGAGCGCATGTCTTCCCGACTCCGCCCTTCCCCGTTGCCGTCGCTCCTATACTTGTATTCCTATCGGTACTTAGCACGGCCTCCTTTAGCCGCGCCTCACACGTATTCGGTGATCCATCGTTCCCCCGAGAATTCAATTGCAAATATATTTCTTCGGGATTGTGCTCTGCGTGTATACAGGGCGTGAACACATCAAGCGTACATCGTGCGATGGGCGTGACGGCAGCGCGGATTTCAACTTGGCCACTTGCATTCAAAAACTTGTCTCACTGCATCACTTGAATGCTCCTCCCATTTCTTTTTCACCCCCAGAAATACTTGCTCCGCAACATATGCCCTTTTTCCATCGCCAAGTGGATCTCCCGGCCAGTTTGTTGCCCCTTTTCATTTACAATCCTATTGAATTCTGCCAGCTCGTGTAGCTCCCCCTTCACCGTATCCGTGCTCGCTTCGCGCTGTCGTGCCTCAGTAAAAAACTCCTCAACTTCAAAAATATTCTTTCCTGCATCATCCCTGTACCGAGTGGGCTCCAACTCTCCGCATTCAGGAATACTTAGTCATGGCACCAATAAGGGAAGGTCAGATGGTAGATCCCTTAAGGCTATGACAAGCGCCGTTCTCAATGATGGAGATGCTGATTCCCACCACAGGTCAAGATGTGGAAGGTACAAAATCGAAGGCACAGACCGCATCGCTTCACGAAAGGCCGTTACTAGCGCCTCCTCAGCACATCTAGCACCCGCATCTGAGTGCAGCGATAGATAATCAATGGCATGGACCGGGCAACCCTCAAAGCGATACAGAATAGCAGGACCAATCTGCGTCTGTCCCAATCCCTTCATACTGCAAATGAGAAGCCGAGGGCGGAGAACCTGAAGGTTCATATGCCTGGAAGATATGGCCAGAGTACAGTCGAGCACCGTAAAAATTTTGCGCAGATACAGAGGTTTTCTTCGGACATGGGAAACGCCGCTTCGGAGCTCTGGGCATGGGTTGAAATTGAATTTGAAGCTGGCCGCCTCTCGTGAGCCTTTAAGGCTGTCTGGTTGGCCCTGGTTGCGAGGAGGAGCCCCGATCGCCTAGACTTGAGGTATACCGCTAGAGGCGCCGATGTGCATGGCAATTTCGGCAATTTTGTCGAGACGTGCTATAGCTATCGATGGGCTTCTATATCCTACGCGGTTTCTCCAAACTTGCGCTCGTAATCTGCTCGTATCTTCTCAAAACGTGCCGTGGTTAGCTTCAGTAAAACATCATCATCATCCTTTGCTCTCGTCTCTGCAGTCCGCAATTGTTCTTGCGCCTCCTGCAACACTTCCATTAACTTTCCACTTTCCACAAACGCCGCTAAAGATCCCTCCCCGGTGTCAGCTTGCCGACTACTTAGCGAGTCTGTCAATCCTTTTATATGCTGACAGAGGAACGATGTATCTTCTGAAACAGCGACTGTCTTACGCTTCTTCCTTGATCCCGATGCCGATCCCCCGTCGTCCCCCTCGTCACTTGAACTACCTGTTATAATTGCACCATTCCCACCAACCCCTGACGAAATTCCCGACCCAGCTTCATCAAATCCGTCGCCGCCCGGGATCACTCTAAGTGCCATGCTCAACATGGCCTTCGCGGTTGACCCCTGGTCATCTGTCCCCCTATTGTCCCTCCCGATCCTCAACACGATAAACATCACGAGAATGCGTTTAGAGAGGGCACAAAGCTGACCGTTCCCGTTGCTTTGCAGGAAGCGGAGAGTCCCCAGTAAGGTCGGATCGTTCTGACCCGACTTTTTGAAGTCATTATGGGCCTTCGTGAACGGACCGCGCATGTCCGTCCACACAGTCTTCAGCTTCAAGGCGCCCACGGGTGAGAGAGGAGTCGATGAGGGGTCTAGAGTCCCTAGGGGTAGTTCGGGTCGCGTGTCAATGCGGGGGTGGAAGTCAACGTTGTTGAAGCGCTCGGCAACAGTTTGCCAGTAGTCGTCACGGTTGACACGATTGCGCTGCTGCACCATGCTCAGCTCTTGACCGGTTCCCTGAAACGCGAGATTTGCGACCGGATCGTCACGGAGCAGAAGGCACAACCGAGCAAACTGCGACAGGCTGAACGGCGATCCTCCAACGCCGTTCGCAGATCCTCCGTACCCCGAACTCTCAGCGTTTTCTTCTGGCAAGTCTCCGTCAGCCACCATCTGCCGCCTCTGTTCAGCTACAGCCTCAAACTCCTTCCAGTGCGCCACTTCCACCGGACGAAAAGTCCTCATGAGATCTGCATCGGAAGGGACCTCCGTCAAATGCTCGACGGAAGACCTGTTATCCTCCATCCATGCGTCGAAGTCCTTGAATAAACATACTGCATCTTTCACACATTTCCGAAACAATTCCCCGGCAGCCTCACCACCAATAAGAGACACACGAAAGTACAGATAGGCTCGTGTGATGCGTTCTGTCTTCGAACCGCTCACTTTCCGCTGCCAAGCCTTCAATACTTTTCGCAAGACGGCGTCCGTATGCTCCCCAATAAAATTGTAAGCCAGCAATAGAATTTCGCGCCTGCATAATGGTGCCACAACTTGCGTTTGTACATTTACAGTTTGTGCCTCTACCGCGACAGTGATTCGGTCTTCATCGCTTGCCGTGGTAGCGTTTAGTGTCGTTTGAGGGCCGCCAGTAGGCCCTGGAGATGTTCCATAGTCACCCTGCACCCCAACTTGCGATATCTCAGGTGGGGGTTCCGTTCTCGTGCTCGACAGACGTTGCCCACTTCCCGTTGATGGCCGGCGAGGCCAAACGGGAGGGGGAATACTTCTTGGGGGAACAGTGGACAGGTCACTCCAGCGGCGGGCTTGGCTAGAAGGGGGGTGAGTTTCGCGCTCGCCTGCATGTTCCGCTGTGCTCGCGGGATGTGGAGGAGGGGATCGTTGAGAAGGAGTTGGGGTGTCGGCAGCGGCAAAGGAGTTGGCTAATATGCGGGGAAGTGGATCGGTGTGTCGTGGGAAAGAAGGGGGTCTCGAGGGATGGGGGCTTCGGTGGTTACGAGGAGATCGCCTCGGGTATATGGAGACTGCCATGAAGGGAGAGAGAAATTGGTTTTGAGATGGCATGTTTTTGATTGTGATGTTAATGGACGGGGATAGTGTGATGGTATCTCGAATGGGCACATGTGGGGGTGGGCGTAGAGTTCTGCGCTTCTGTACGAAGGAGCACAAGGTCACGACTTCGAGGTCCGGGGCATTAGCATAGGAAGCAAAATTGTATCTTAGCTGGACCAACTCGGAGATTAGCATCGAGATGTGCAAACGTGGGCTTTAAGCTTGCCGTTTTGCCGCCTTTTTTAAATTTTGAAGATTGGCATCGGTGCCAATGAGGTGTTGACAAGGTCGAGGCTGGTGATGTGCCAGGCGGCTGCGTGTACGGAGAGGAGTAGTGTAATGGAGCCAGACGTGGTTTAAATTATTCTTCAGGGGCCAATAGGGGTGGAGAGAGGCCTTGGGCACGCATGCACGCACGCCGCGCATGCGAGTTAAGAAAGGCCCTCAGGCTGGGCCATGTGCATGCGCGAGGAGGCGTTGCTGTACCTTCCATGCTGCATGGATCTGCAGACCGTCCAGACTCTGTTCCATTTCCGAGGAGTGGAACTATGGGATGGCATTACAGTAAAAACTACAGCAATGTGCTTCCGATTTTAGTGAAGAACTCAATAAAAACGGGGCGAGGGAAAGGAAAAACGAGAGGAAAGTCCTTTGTTAGGACTGGCCCTGAGGGTGCGATACGAGGGTGAGTACGAGTGTGAGTACAAGGATGCGATGGTGAGTACGAGGGGAATGTACAGTACTTCATTTGGTTCTCACCGGTGGGGCAGTTCTTTCCGAAGCATCAAACAGCCAAATAACGAAACAACCAAATTCTAGGGAGCCAATCAAATTACAGAAAAATGTGCCAAGTGTTGTTATTTGATGATTTGATTGCGTACCGGTGGGGATGCTCTTATGTCATACTTGCTAATGATTGCTCTCCATACAAAGGCGTTGGAATTGTTTCCGGTACGGAGTATCAGGGCCAGTCCTAACAGGCGCTTTTCTTTTTTTTTTTTTTTCTTCAACCAGTTGCGGTCACGCTATTGGCCGGGTCATTTCATTACATTAATCGCACGCCACAACGAATGCTACACAGAACCACTGTAATGCTTGGTAATTCTGCAAACTGGTCGAAATCCATTGGCTAAAGGAAGTACCAGTCCACACTCAGTCCATATGCACACTACTAAAATTCCATGGACTCGATGCGGTGCAGTGGCACTTGCAGTACAATGAAAGAGTGGAATTAAATCCAAATACGAGCACATGCAGATCAAAACATTGGTTCTCTCAACATTACACTCTGTTTAGGAAACGGAGCACCACCGGACGGCAGAAGGGTACCCAGAGTTCAGCTTTTTGAAATCAAATGCCTCCTTGGCATCGATCATGAAATGGAGAGAAGCCGGGGAGGCTGCTCTCTAGTTCATGATCGATGATGAAGTGGCTTCGCCGAAATCCCTTTCCTGTGAACCACCCCGCCCTCGCTCCCTCCCCCCCGCCACCAACCCCCCTTCCCCCCCAAATAAGACCACGTCCCCTCCTCCCCGCCACCCCTCCTTCCCCCCCAAAATCCCCACGTCCCCTCCTCCCCGCCACCCCTACCTCGCGCCCGACCACCACGCCCCATCACCATCTTCCTCACCTCCTCAGTACCGTGACCAACACACATCCTCCGACATGCTATTGTCCCCGCCACCGCGTCATCCTCCTAACATCGACACCGACACAGTCTCTCCCCGCACCCTCCATCCCTTCCATATCTTTCGTTTCATATCTCAATCCAGCCCAGTTTTGGTCATGCACATCGAGGGACCTCATTATAGCAACACGTCGTCCAGCTTTGCTTTTGTCGAGCTACAGGGAGTCAGACTGGGCCATGTGCATGCGCGAGGAGGCGTTGCTGTACCTTCCATGCTGCATGGATCTGCAGACCGTCCAGACTCTGTTCCATTTCCGAGGAGTGGAACTTTGGGATGGCATTACAGTAAAAACTACAGCAATGTGCTTCCGATTTTAGTGAAGAACTCAATAAAAACGGGGCGAGGGAAAGGAAAAAAGAGAAAAAAGTCCTTTGTTAGGACTGGCCCTCAGTCGTAACGACATTCACAGCTCACACGATTGGTGATCGTACTGCCATGCAATTGGACACGTCTTCCATGGACACTGGAACCACCCGTGAGCCCTCCGAAACTTCTGCTGATCGCAGGGATCGTACGCGCAAGGTCTCGAAAGGAACGTCTGGGGTCACCGACAAACCCACAAAGTAAGACTAGGACTTCAAGGGTGCTGAATGATATGGCAACGGTTATGCATTCTCTTTTCAGGCAGTCATTACGTACTTTTATGGCAATCTACATCTTTCAACAGTCATCTGTGTCTATTGCAATTAGATTACCAGTCTCCAGGTAGCGTCTCACTCGTTCAATGCTGTAAAAGTCGTTCTCTGGATTTGAGAGGGTCGCAGTTAGATCGCAGAAGTCGGGCGTACCGGACTTGCTTCCCAACTTGTTCCCTGTTCGTTGGCACGAATCGAAATCGACGAGAACTACCGTCCCATCTTCTCGAAACATGATGTTCCCCAAGCTCACATCGTTGTGGCAGAAACCAATGCGGTGGAGGTGCTTTATCGCACTGCACACACTCCTCATAACCTCATCCTTGTTAACAGTAGCCTTCTTAAGCCACGTTCTCTCATAAAGAGTCTCTACGCACCTCTCCAGGCATATGCCAATGACTCTTTCCTTCTCTAAGACACATCCAAAGTACTTGACAATGTTCGGATGCGGATTCTTCGATATAGAATCAAGCACGCTGGCCTCGTGCAAGAAGCGGTCGGGAATGACATTCGGTTGTCGTCGGGCTGTACCCAGTCAATCGAGGTTTCTTCAGGAACTGCACATTCGCATCGCAGGACTCAACAGTTCGGAGGTTGGGTGCGACCGCCGGGAAGATATGACCAACGGGGATGAGCACAACTTTCTCTAGTTTTTCGACATTGTCCTCGTCAATGTCTTCAGGTTCGAGAGTCGAAGATTCAGCGTAATAATAGTTTGCCCCATCGTTGTACACAACAATGGATGAAACGAATTGATTCCTTTCGTCACGCGTTTCGCACTTGTCGATTATCTCCATCTTCGTAAACGTTGCTCGATCAAGATACTGTACCCTGAAAGAACCGGATTGCAGCGTTTCGGGTGGTTTGCGACGGGATGGAAGGATGCAATGGGAGGCGCAGGAGGCCACTGGGCAGTGCAGGCCCCTAGCAAACACTATGCGGATTGGTAGAGGGCAAGTGGAGGGCACCGGGAGATATTTTGAGTGATTTCGGAGCATTATGGCAGTCATGGAAGGTTTCAAGCAGAGTGCGAACCCGTGGTGAAATACAGATGGAGGACAATGGCCTAGAGAAATGCAAATTTACTCAAACCATATGCTCCATATCGCGGCCTCGCTCGCTGCTCCCCGCGTCGTATGCTGCTCTCCTCCATCTCACTGGCTTTACTGGGGGGCCTTGATGACCGAGGCGACGCCCGCAGACACGGCAGCAGCCTGGAAGACGGCAGCAGCGTGCTCGCACTATTCCTCGCGCGTGCGGCTCTCGTCGGCGGTGGGATCGCGGGCGTGCCCGTGTTCGCGGTTGGCTTGCTCCGCGGCGTCGACGATGACGTCTAGTAGATGCGGGGCGTAGGCGAGATGCAGGAAGGCGAGCAGCGAGGCGACGGCTGCGCGGAGACGCGGGAGGGCGGCCGCGAGGCAGATGCGGCGACGAGGACGGGGAAGGGGGAGAGGTAGGGGGAAGAGGGAGGAAAGGAGGGAATCAAGCGCCGGGAGAGATGGGAGTGGCGGTGGCGGGACAGCGGGAAAGGGTAGGACGAGAGAGGCGCCGCGGAGCGCGATAGAGAATCGGCGACGGGGCGGCGAGGGAGGCGGCATTGTAGGGAGGGGCAGGCGGGGGAGGGGCGTGCGAGTGGTTGACGCGAGATGGTGAGTAAATGGGGCTCCTCGCAGTGGTTGAAGGAGCAGAATGGGGAGGAAGGAAGGGGACGGAAATGGGCTTCAAGAAAGACCCGGGAAGCTTTTCGATTCATTGCGGTGACGAGCTCCAAGGTGAGCCTCTTATTGACGGCACTCTTAAAATGCAGGCGGTCCCTAAACAACAAGCTATTATTGAGGACCTTGAGGGCGAGATACTCATATTTGACAGGGCCATGGACGAGGTGGACCCTGCCCAAAGCGCCACCGCCAAGGGCGTTGATCTCCCCATGTGCAACCAGCAACCTCCCCGCCGCGGCAGCCATACTCCACTTCCTCTCTCCCGGATTTCCTCCTTGCTGACCTCGAACCGTACATCTTTCCTCTCCGCGCCCCTTACATCGCTGGCGCTGGACCTCAGCGCCGCCCTCTCCCCCTGCCCATGCGGCGCACCGCCTCTTCCCCGAACTTCTCCCTGATTCCCCTCTCCATTTCCAACCTGCCCGCCACGCTCACCGCCATCTCCACATCCCCGTACTCCCGCGTGTACATAAGCGCAGCGCTGCCCCCGATGCAGTGCCCCGATGCAGTTCCCGACGAGCCCGCCCTCGCCCAGCCTCGAGCCGCGCAGCCCCATGCGGCGCATCCGCGTCACCACGGCGCCAACATCATCCCCCTCCGCCCCGTACACCGCGTCCTGGAACCGCCACTGACACTCGCAGTTACCCGCAAAGTCGAACCTACCCATATGGAACTCCTTCAGATCCGGTATCGTCCAGTCTTCGTCATGGTCCTCATCGACCATACTGAAAAAGTAGTTAACAGCTCCGATCGAAGATAGATTGTTCAGTACAGACAGAAATATGGCGAAATCTTCGAGAGTCATCTCTTTCTATTTGCGGCATTGTGTTGATACCGTTGCCAGTACTGCTGATGGAAGTACGTCTTTCGTGTCGTGCAAAACTTCTGTACCTCTTCTACAGTCAGACTGCAATTGAGAGCCAAACCTCCACTGCGGGACACAGCTGTGTGGCACGCTTATGTTTCAAAGGATCCTTTCACAGAACGAATCTGATCCATTGACAGTCCGCCTGCGACCCTATCAAAGATTCCTGCTTCAGCAGCCACGAGTGCTGCGTCCAGTTTCCCTTCACGCACTTCCTTCGGGGAAAACGGTCTTGCATGTTCGTCTACCAGATTTTTACTTACAGCACGAAGCCCATACATCACAAGAGAAGACCCAATCGCAATAGCTTCGGACATCTTCACGAGCGCGAATGATCCGAACTTAGAAGACCACCCTTCCATAAAGGATGAAATCAGTAGTTAATGCCAGAGTCGCATGGGCAGGAGATATCGGTCGGCAAGCCGCCTGAATACCGTCGAGTCAGCTTATTACAGTGTTCTCCAATTCTCCGCGTCGAGCTTGCGGTAAGATCAAATTCGGTGAAGTTGCGCGGCATGAGTCTCGATGTTCGGATTGGTAGGGGCGCCCCGTACTCAATGTGTCCTGTGAGATTCCTGGGAAGCGATACAGGAGATGCATATCGATCGATCACTAGATTCGACTATCTTTCTCCGCTTTCACGTTCATTCAGTCTCGAATCCCAATATGCAAAGAACGCATAGCGGGAGGGCGCCGACAAAGGCCGAGGAGGTGGTGCGTTGCCACATATGAGTCTGGAAACAGTTCTGGACACAGGGAATGAGATGAGGGTGGACTGTCCGGTGCGGTCCGGTCGTTGTCCTTTGCGCGTCACTTGTTCGGTCCTCTTCGTCGCCCTTCGTCTTCGCCTCATACGTATGACCGGTATCATCCATGCCGTACCACGTACCATTTCACAAATGACTCGCCCTTGTATGCCCCTTCAGCCTCTACGTCAACAGCGTAATTCATCGCTATTAGGTTCCCATCAACGCCCTTGTGTAGAATCTTCCACATGAACCGTTCCAACACAGCTCGGTTACGTGTTCAATACTCGTCTGTTTTTGTTTTCTCTTCAATAAGAAAGAGTGCCTCCTTTTTCACACCCTTGAAATTCTCATTGGGGATGTCGCCGCGGGCCCGCGGTGGCATCCTCAATGTGAATGTCTCAAACGCCACCCTGTGGTCTCTTTCAGAGAGGAATGGCGTTTCCTGGAGCAAGGCCAGGGATGGCTTATCTGAATGTTGCACAATACACAAGTGTGCGACAGATGGGGCGTGGAGATTCGACGGAATACTGGGCAGTAGATGAGCAGACGCATCAAGCTCCTCAGTATCCAACCTTGATGGGCGGCATGCGGCGAGGATTTGGAGAACGAATGCCTTTGGGGACGACATCATACCCATTTCCGCATAGCTCAGATAGTGGGGATACAGTATTATGCCTCAAAATTTTGGAGAATTTAGAAAGGATCAGTTCTACCCACAGGGTGTGATGACCCACAAGCCAGCCACAGACTAGACCACACCATTTGAGGTAGGTAGCAGCGCCAGGACCGAATAAAAGCGCGCCGTCGGCCGCCCCGCCGCCGCGGGACGACCGGAGGCACGAAACTTACTTCGTCACAGGTCATGGGCCCCTATGCAACCACTGCCACCCTCCAGTCCATCTCAACACTCCACCACATCCCACAATATTCCCTCGCAACGAAGACGACGCGCTGACCGACGCGCCCTCAATCAAGACATCAACGAATACACAACATACCTTCTACAACAAACAACACTCCACGAAAACGATCAACACGAACCCCAAGACACAACTCAACACAAACACAACACAATGAATTCACAAAATCTGCTCCCCCACCTCACCACCACAAACTACACCTACTGGTATGACGCCCTTCTGCTGCACGCGAGAACGATCGACGCAGCATACCTCCTCGAATCCGAACGCACACCCACAACCGACCCAGCCACCACCCAAACGCGCAAGAAACAGGCCGATCAGCTCCGCAAGCTCATCATACTCAGCCTGCCCTCCACCATCGTAGCTCTCTTACCCCCAACCATCCTCCGCGAATCTCCTCACCACATATGCACACTTCTCCGCGAGCACATCCACGACGCCAACATCGAAAACCACGAAGTCCTCGACGCGGAGGCACGATGCAACAAACTTCTTCCTGGTACTGACTTTTCTACGTTTATCAACACCCACATCGCAATCCGTCAAAAGATGATCAACGCCAATTACCCCAACATAGACCAAGAACGCACCACCGTCAACTACATGATACAAGGGATCAGCAACCACCCCGACCTTGGACTCGTTGCTGTCGTGCTAGCGGGCAGCCCACCCGCCTCCATCCGCAAATTCACGAACCATGTCCGACAGGTCATGCTGATGCAGAACAAGCAGCAAGAAGCCAGCGCACCGCAACCCGTCTTCCCCAAACCTGCCCCAGCCCAACAACCACTGCCGCCCCAATACACGCCACACCAGCTGTACCAACGACCCCCGCAGAACAAGTACACGCCTCGCCCACCCTACCAATCCCACCCACAGCAACGCCGTGCCCCCCGCCAGACCTGGGAACCCTGCAACCACCCTCGACCCAAAGGTTGGGCCGGCAAGTGGTGCAGCCATCATGGCAGCATCACACACGACACCGAGCAGTGCTACGCACGCGCTTCGGTCTTCGCATCGCGCGCGGAGGACAACAGAGAAACCGGAACGGAATCGCGTGGTCGGATGGGTGGTCGCCACCCCTACCACACCCAACACAGAAGACCTCTGTAGTATAACGACGGATGCGCGCGCGGGGAGATTATTAACAGTGCGGCCGTGCACGGTGGACACGTGGGCGGGTGTGCCCACGTGTAAGGAGCGCGCGCGTGCCGAGCGGTCGTAATCTGGCGTACGTGTACAGTAGTGCACGTGTCGGCCAAGCGGTAGTCTACCAGTATGACGCGTGTACGCTAGCACACGTGGCATCCGTGCGGTAGTCTGTAAGCAGCGCGTGTGTACAGTAGTACACACGTGTAGCTACAGCGTCCGCGCGGTAATTAGGAATTGAGGCGCTAGTTTTTTAATGGCGTACAGTACCTGGTACGCACTAGGCGGCAGGTACTGTATACTGGGACAGGTGTCCGAGGCGTCCCTCTGAGGGGTTAAGACCTGACACCCGTCCCCACCAGTAAACTGGGGCAAGCTCGCCCCCGTCCCTTTCGCGCCTATATACGTCCGTTTCGGTTGTCTATCGCGCGCGATGGCTTCTAACCCGTTACCGGTCGCTCCCGTTCACGCACCACGGGGCGACTGCGCGTAACCGGCCAGTGAGCCACTCCCTTTTCGCGAGCTCGTCCGATCGGTTACCGCGCGCCGCGCGTCTCGCGTCGCGAGCTCCCTCGGCTCATCCTCCGAGCTTCTCGCCCGCTAGGGTTTGAGGAGAGTTGTACCACATTTTGGTACTCTTGTGGAGGGGTACAACTCTCGAGGTAGAGCCGCGCGCCTTGACGCCCGCTCTGCGCAGAACCGTACGGACGGAAAAGGTTGAGAAATCACCGCGTCGATCGCGAAGCGTATTCGACGATGAACCGACCGGATCAAGGGGCAGACTCCGCCTCCGGGCGTCTGAGCACCCGCAGTGGCAGTGGCGCACCGCGCCCCCGGGTGGAGAACCCGGAAGCCCTGCTGCGACCGCCACCGCGACCGGGCCGCACGCGAGCGTCCGCATCGGATGTTACGCCGGCCGTGTCGGCAGGCACCGAGAATCGCGTCCAATGGATGGTCGACGCGATTCAGCCGCGCATCCAGGCTTGGGTCGAGGAGTTCCTCGCTACGGAACTCCCCCAGGTAGCGCGCGTATGCCTCGACCGAACGGTGCCCGCTCTCGTGGACGCGCACGTACGCAGCGCGATACCACCGCTTTTGGACGAACTTCTACCCGCTCAAGTCCAATGCGAGGTGGTGACCGCGCTCACCACTGTGGATGAAGAATCCCCGTCCGGCACGGCTCTAAAGGGAGCGATCAGCTCCGCCGTGGCCAATCGTCTGGCCACGACCTTCGCCGGAGCAGGAGTCGACGCACGCGAGCAGCGCGACTCGACCGCTCCGGATCCTACGCTAACGCACGCTGAACCGATCGGCGCCGCACCCGGGATCGGTACAATGGCCCCTCACCCGGAGGGTAAGACCATTTACCTCCCACCAATTTATGGTGCTACAGGAGGGCCCACAGAAAATGGCCCTCCCGTACTCGCCGATACGGCTGGCCCCCGCGGGACAGAAAACCGCCTGGGGCGCTTCGCGACAGAAAAGCGACAGCCGTATCGGTCGAGCAGAAGAAGCGCACCCGGCGCTCAAGGTTACACCTCGGAGGGTACAGAAAACCCCTCCGAGGAAGAAGACACAAGACGTCGCCACAGGGCGACGCGCAAGAACCGCGACGGACGCTACGCGCGATACCGCGATGCCGGAGGGGCCGGTTACCCCTCCGATGATAACCGCGAAGGACGCTATACGCGATACCGCGATGCCGGAGGAGGTGGATACCCCTCTGATGACGAGGACACCGAGTCGGACGAATCGCGCAGAAGCGACCGCAGAGGCCGCAATGCGCGCGACCGACGTCGGTTCCGGCGAGAAGACTCCGATCCGGAGGGCTACAGTAGCCCCGGCGGAGAAGGAGACCGCCACCGCAGGGGCAGAGACCGCCGGTCTGCCCCGAGGCGGGATCCGAAACGGTTGCCGGTGATCAGGCCGCTGAACGACCTGTTCACCAAGGCCGTCGACTACCGCACGTATAGGCTGGAAAATCGCAGCGCGCGCTACGACGCGAGTACCGCGCGGCGAGTTAACCGATATCGGAAGAAGTTGGACGTCCAGCTGAAAACCCACACGTTCGGTGGTCAAGATCCAATCGCGGTGCTAAGATTCCTCGCCACGCATCCGAGCGTGGACTACCAAGCGGTGGCATGCTACGCGCAAGCGATAGGCGAGACGCACCGCTCTGCTCGAAGACAGGCGACCTCGCCCGCGTCGCTTCAAGCACCGTCCGATTCGGTGAGAAGATTCACGCGCAACGCGGACAAGGCCTGTGCTGTCGGTCGAGTCCCTATCTGAACTCCCGACAGCGCGCGGAACTGAAACGGAGGAGATACTGGCGGTGACGGACCAGTCGGCGACGCCGAGCTCGCTTAGCTCGCCGCCGACTAGCTACCATCCGTCACCTGCCTCGTCCCCGGCGGGCGCACCCACGGCGCCCGCCCAACACGGTGATGCGCGCGCACATCCGTACGGAAGGCCAGTACAGAACCAGCGGGTCCGGTTCTTCAACCAAGGATTACCTGGACCCCCGCCGTGTCGGTTCTGTCTGGACCTGACCCACCTACAGGAGCAATGTCCTGTGGTGGCGGATAGCGCGCTGCATTCGAAGCTTTTGCGGGCCGGCGAGGCCAATTATCAAAAGCTTCGGATCCGTCAAGGTCTCCGCCCAGGCTCGCCGTTCTAGCGTCAACCGCCGACCGCGTGGCGAAATTCGCGTGCGCAGGCTCCCACGGGCATCAACGTGGTCGAGCCGCGCGAGACCGTCCAATCGGAAGAACCCGCCCTACCGTTGACGGACGAGGGGCCCGGGGACCTTGGGTTGACGGGGGAAGCCGGGGAGGACGCGTAGAGGCGTCGACGATCCTCCCCGTGCCAAGCCTCAATAAACAAGGCACCCCGTCGACCGCTTCGGTACGCGCGCCATCGCAGAGCCGAACGGACGAAGCGGCAATTTGCTTCTTCAAGAAGCAAAATTATAAGGTCACCGCAACGGTCGGACAACGACGCGCGATGATGCGCGCCATCACGCCGGTTCTAGATTCGGGCGCCGGCCCGAA